ATTTTTCCAAAGATTATATCCTGATCCCACTAAGAGATCTAATCCATACCATAACCTTACTCCTCTAAGTTCTATTAGCTTTCCAAACCACACATACATAGCATATTATATAATTACATACAAACTTTTCCATAACCATGCCAAATCATTCAATATAATAATTAAATAATTAAACACCTAAAATAACCATCAACTTAAATACATGACAATCTTCATATAAACAAAATAGCATATTAAAGTTATACTACCCCTATCATGCTCATCCATACTAGATTAAGTCTTATAAGTACTACCCTTACTTGGAAAAGCAGTATTTGAAACTAGGGCAGAACCTCCCCCTCTCCCTTCTCTTTTCTTTCCCCTGGCAGAACCTCCTTCTCTAGATTTCTCTTCCTCTCTCTCCTCTTTTCTTTCTCCTTTTCTCTCTTTCTTTTTCTCTCTCTCCTCTTTCTCTCTCTAGAACCTCCTCTCAAGTTCTCCATTTTCTAACCCCCAGCCCCCTATTTATAGAGTTCTACCTACCTAACCCGGAACGGCCCGTTCTGAAAGCAGAACACCCGTTTTGGGCTCAAAAAATTTACGCAAATTTTTGAACTGGAACGGCCCGTTTCGGGACCCATCCAGAACGGCCCGTTCTCCCTCCAGAACGGCCGTTCCAAAATCAGAACGGCCCGTTCTCCTTTTGGAATGGCCCGTTCTGGGCCCATTCTCAATCTTTAAACTTAGTTTCTTTTTGGTGCTTGGAACGGCCCGTTCCGCTTTTGGAACAGGCCGTTCCAAGTTACCAAAACACCCTATAACTTAAAAAAATTTACGAAAATGCCATTAATAATTAATAATAAAAAAAATGGGTATTACAATACTTATTGCTAATATGTTGCAGGAGGGTTTAGTTGAGCAGACCACCCAGGGGTCATTTGTTTCCCATGGTTGGGATGATATCCTCACAACGGCCATAGGAAGGCCAGAGCATGCAGGCTGTGTGCGTGGTGTTGGTGGTTCTTGGAGCCACCGAGATTTCTTTGGTGCACGATCATCAAGTAGCACTGTTAACTCTTGTAGTCAAGAGGCTATGTAGAGAATGGAGATGCAGTTTGAAGAGAAATTGAAGACCATTCGAGAAGAGTTTGAACAGAAGTTTAAACTTTTGGCTCATTCTCAAAAACAGACTGTAGTTGCTCATGATGGTGTTCGAGTCAGCACTAAAGGGAGTTATGCTGCTCCAGATCCCTCAGCGGAACATACTCACACTGATGTACCAAACCAGTGTGAGTTATATGTTGAGGATGACCCCCCACGATTAGTGGCTATTGGCCGAGTATTTGAGGGTGGCTCAACCATCCATGGTGTCCCTCTACAGCCAGACTGGACACGGGTTGTGGTTGACCAAGTTCAAGATGTTGCTGCTCCAGTGCCTTTGCCCAATACAAAGGTTTAACTAGTGGGGCAGGCAACCGACACATTCTTATCTTGGCCAAAACGTTTGGTCATGCCGCTTTCAGCACGGACAAAGGTAATTCTATTATTTCTCTTTTATATTCTTATAATTGTATTATTGTTTAACTAATTTTGATTATTTCTTTAGGATTTTATCAATCGTGGTAAGGAGGTCATGAGAGAACCTCATGTTGATCATGCTAATATCGCAGAAGCTGAGGATGATCCCATACCTAAGCTTCTAACCATATTACCACGATTAAAGAAGAAGCCAATTCAATTGCAGTGGGACATTAGAGTTTTTGGAGTTGATAACTCTGATGTTCCACTATACATATCCCTGCCTGATGCATTAAAGATTGTTGGGGGAAACTCCATGTTAAATATATCTATCATACAGCTATGGGCCATGTAAGTCATATTTTCTTTTATGAGTCTAAATTTACAATAATTACATTTAACTTATAATAATTATTTGTGTTAGGTACATGGACAAATTGAGTGTGGAGCAAGCACAAGCAGAAGTATATGGATTTATTGAGCCTCAATCCATCCAAAAATCAGGAAACACTCAGGTCCAGATCCAGCAATATATGCAAACATGGATGAGTGACTCAGGAAGAGATATATACATGGCTCCATACATTGACGGGTTAGTTTTTTAATTGGTTTTTTAATCATGGTAATTTTATAACTAATTTGTTTGTCATACAATGTAGGTCTCATTGGCAGTTAATGGTAATCATTCCTAAGGAATACCCCGTGTTGTGATTTTGTTCACTACATCGAAAACAAAGCCACAAAATTAAATGTCAATTACAAGGGTAACTAAAATTTTTCATTATGTTTTAAAACTGTAATTATATATATTGGTTAACATCTGTTTTTATCTCAATTAATTAGAATCGTGTCTGGAGCTAATATTTTAAGTGGAAGAGCCAGATCATCAAAGTCATTGCATTTCATATACCCTAAGGTTAGCAAATTAATTCATACAGTCAATAATATTTAAATTTATTGACTTTGGAAATAATAGTTATTTGTTTCTCATTTTAGTGTAATAAGCAACAAGACTCGTTTGAATGTGGCTATTACATCATGTATTGGATGAGAGCCATAGTTTCTGCGGGTATTACTGATTCTTGGGCGCAGGTAATTCATATCAAAATTTATTTAAGTATATTTACCTTTAGGATAATTAACATTGCATATTAATGACACTTAAATTAATGTTTCAGGTCTTTCAAGATCCATCTCCATTGCCCGAAGATGAGATCATCAAGATAAGAGAACAATGGGCAACTTTTTTTCTTCAAAGTATATATTAGTTAGATTTCTAAGTTTAGTTAGTTAGATATTATGTTTCTAGTTTGATAGCATTGACAAACATATGTTTTATAGCTTTTTTAGGATAATAGGATTTACATTGTCATAATTTATGCTTTTTAAGATTTATATATTATTTTCTTTGTCATTCAATTTTGAAATATAATTTAAATTTCTATTCTGGGCTGTCTGGTTTAGGTTTTATATTCTGGACTATATATATGCAAGTTTTGGGTATATCAAAAAACAACCAAAATTTAAAGAAAAAAACGCAAGAATTTACGTCGAATTATACCATGTCCGACGTAAATTTATGTCGGACCTAGCACTGGCCGACGTAAATTTACATTGAACAAGGTACAGTCCGACATAAACTCTTGCCTTTTTTTCCCCTTTAAGAACCCCTTTTTACGTCGGGCACAAGACATCTCCGACGTAAATTTATGTCGTCTTTGACAAGCGATGTAAATTTACGTCTCCCGTATTAACGTCGAAACCTTTTCTGACGTAAAAGCCTCAAAATATCCGACGTAAAAGACCCCTTTTGTACTAGTGATTGCTGAAATTTCAGTATTCACAAGATGCTTCATAAAGAAAGACCAGTGAAGGTAAGACAATTAATTTCATCTTCTTACTTCGGAGGAGAGAAAACACAAAATACTGAACAAATATCCTCTCTATAGTATCTGCATAATTTTCAATATAATATTGCTTAGAAGTCAGAACTTGATAGATTGTCTAAAAGATTATACAAAAGAGGCAAGTATCTCAGCTGCTGGTTCATATACACCCTTCATGCCTACGACTATATATATATTGTAATTTATAATTCTCAAAGAGATCAAAAGACCAAAGCAAGCAACTGGAGAACTTGATGATTTTCAATCTTGTTCAACACGCTCCTAGCCCAAGATTTATAGATCATTTTCAACTCTCACGTGAATGAACAATATTGGATGGTCTGTAACAGGAAATCAATATAGGAAAGATACAGGAACAATAAGGATTTTTCAGTGAAATTGATCAGTTCTGTCAGTTTGCATAACAATATTTAACTTTCATTTCCTATCATTTCGTACAAATAATTGTTATGATGAAACTTATATCTCATGTTAAAGGACTTGAATTACCTCCATTCAGCCTAACACAAAATCCTAACACATTTTAGTACACGTATTTGATTAGTTTATTTCAAGAACGTGATATGGATTATATATTGGAGCACTTTAAAAAGAATTATGGTGAAAGTAGCCTGTTGTTGTTCAATGGCATGTAGGGGAGTATAAAATTATCCATTGGCTTGTATGAATTTTGTGCTAGAGGTAGTTCGCGCGGAACGTAACTTCTTTTTGCGTCACTCTCTGCTGATGGTATAATTAGGTCATGGAATCTTGCTTTGCAATGGGGCACGTCAAGAGATGCAGCAGCCAGAGAATCAGTCTTTTTTATTACTTAAATAATGGTTGTGCCGACAAACATTCCAAATTCATTTACTTTGTTTTTACCCCCTCATGTAGAAACCTGAATACAAACATTATTAGAATTTATTTACCACTAGCTCACAAAACTGAATACAAACATTATTAAAACTTATTTACCACTGGCTCACATGTTGTATATTCTTCATTTTTTTATTTATAATTATGATATTAATATAAAATATATATTATTAAAAATAATAATTAATGTCTGTCATAAAGTGAGTATTTTTTTAATAAAATTTATTCGAACATAAAAACTTGATTGCATCCCTCGTGTTTACGGCAAGTAGAATCAACCTACTTCAACTTTACTACAACTTGATTCTCCTTAATTAGCAATTAGCACGCAATTCTAGCAAAGGAGTTATACATCATCCTATTTCTCAATTAACAGACAACGCCAGCTTCCATGGTTTAAAATTTGTAGAAAAACATGTAAATCGAAAGTACATTGTATTTACGCTAGAAATTCATCAGTTCAAAGACAAAATAAACGCAAAAAAAGTGAAAAAAAAGGGTAAGTTCCTGGTAACCATGGGGTTACTCACTTTTAATAGGAAAAATGTCCCAAAAGATCCTCACTTTCGGTCAAGTAGACATCTTCCAACCATTTTCCACGTCCATTTAAAGTGTTAATTGTGTCCCACACGGAGGGAGCCTGTCTTTCCACGAGGGTGTCACTGTCCCACAAAGTTAACTAATTATCTCTTAAATACTCCTCCTAATTAAGTTCTAACTCAATATCTTGTCTTGAATTTGAAGCTACTATTCTTCCTCACAACAATGACCATTATTCAGTCCCTTCATAACTCAATCTCAAAACTCCTAAACCACCCGTTGCTATGGAGACTCACGGGCTTTGTGTCAAGCATAGTTGGAATCAGCTGTTATGCCCTAAGCCCCTCTTTCCAACACATGTTCGGACAGTGGAACCCACTGAAGATCGTTGTGTACACCGTGGTAGCCTCACTTTTAAGTATCTTTATGCTCTTCGTTCCAAGATGCAGTTGGGGACTTGGGAGGAGTTTGTTGTTGAAAGCACACGTGGGCTTTGTGGTCTTAACACTTACCTCTCTGTGGTCTGTTTTGGAAGACCGTAGCGAAGAAGGGAAAGTGGAAAGCGGATTCGGCAAGATGATGAACGTGATTTGGAGTGGGGCATTTGGGTTGATGGCAATGAGCTTGTCGAGACAACTCCAACTTGGATTCGAAGTTGGTGTGAGTAACTTCTTGGTTGGGTTTGGGTGTTTCTTGGTGACTTTGATGAAGATGAACTTGAAGCTGGCTCCAGTTGCGGCATTCTTATGCTATTTGGTTGTGAACGTCCGTTCCGTTTCAGATTTGGTGGCTGAAATGCGCTCACGTTGCGGAAGACAGCATGCAGATGAGAAGGACAGTGAATCCGAGGAGCAAGATACGGATAGTACTACGGGAGAGGATTTTGATGGTTATTTTGAAGACTACAGTCAACCTATGCAAGACTTCTATTGTGATCTAAGTGAGTTACTGTGATTTAGGAAGTATATAGATCTAAAGACTGCTGTTATCTTTTAAGTTTTATTTTATTAGCAATGAGAAAAAATTTCACAAAGTTATTTAGATAATGATCATAACTTACAATTAGTTTATGTTTGTTCCGGCCACGGGATGAACTAGGGTTTCTGCCTAGGTCGAGCCTCAAAGTCAGAGCATTCAAAAGTGTAATCTGTCTGCTCAACTCTAGGGTTTTAGGTCTTATAGTACGTCGTTCATGGGCCGCTTGGGCCCCGAGGATCAAGGGATTTTCTGAACCGCTCTTGCCACGATGACCCTTGGTTAGTGGGAGCGGTCTTACTCGGAATCCGACCGAGTGTCCCCGAACCGAGGGCCCAGTGAGGCGAATGCGGAGTGGCCCCCTTGTAGGCGAGCAGAGCTGAGCTTAAGGAGCCTAGTCGGTATACGGTCGAGTAGGGCTGTACTGAGCCCCTGGGGTCGGGCAATTATCGAGTGAGAGTCGTTGTCATCCTATCTCCGAGAAGTCTAGGTCGGGATCCAACCTGGACGGTACACTTGCCTTCCAGCCCTGAGCCTGTCAAGGCGATAGGGCTTAGGGCCTGAAGTGCTAATCGGGTGATTACCGAGTGAGAGGATTTTATCGTCCTATCGCCGAGAAGTCTAGGTCGGGATCCGACCTGGACGGTACACTTGCCTTCCAACCCTGAGCCTATCAAGGCGATAGGGCTTAGGGCCTGAAGTGCTAATCGGGTGATTACCGAGTGAGAGGATTTTATCGTCCTATCGCCGAGAGTTTCAGTGGGGTTACTTATAAGTACCCCCACTTGCCATATCAGCGTGAAAATTAGTGTATGAGTTGCTTAAAATTTACAAAAATTATTTATATAAACATTGATTCTTAAAAAAGAAGAAAAAAAATGATACTAATATAACAAGTGGGGTTACTTATAAACAATTCTACGAGAAATGACCTTAGTAAATTAAAGTAGCACATTGTCGTCATAGTAATTTTTTCTATCGATAAAAAAAAACATTCTTTTAAAAGTAAAGAGATAAAGAAAACTTGACATGCATGTCACATACATGTGATTGCGTTCCTTAAGCAATTTCTGATGATGACCGACGCCCTAATTTTAACAAGTAGATCCTTGAGCCTTACTTTGTTAACAACCCAAAAAGCATATTACATTATTACTATAATATTAATGTAGGTGCATTGACCTTTCTGCACCATGACAGACTCACACACATCATTCACTGTACATTACATAAATTTTAAACGTTTTCGGTATTGAAACTATTGCCACTTAGCATTAAATCTTATGGTTTCCGATGTAACCACTAAACCTACCTCCATCTTTTTATTTTTTTATAACTTCATAGTAAGTAATTTCTTAAAAATTGATTTCTACAATTAGAGGACAACAATAAATAAAAAATGTAATTAACATATTCATTTATATTAAAATAATTTTAAATTTTTAATATGATTTCTGTTAGAATTCATCCCAAGTCTCACATCTGTAAAATAAAGGAACATTTGCTAGTTTACAAGGGTGTCCTCCATTCCATATAGTATGAGGTCTTTTAGGAAGGAGCCCAAAAACAAAATCGTGCGGGCCTAGCCCAAAGCGGACAATATCATACTATGGTGGAGAAACAGGTAGACTATCGGGCCCTACAAATAGTATCAAAGCCAACGGTTCGACTGGGTTTGATGCGGGAAGACCCTCAGTGATGTGCCTCGCAATGAAACCATGCGAGCCTAGCCCAAAGCAGACAATATCATACTGTGGTGGAGAACTATCGGGCCCTATAATTTCTACCATTATTTTTTCTCATTAATGGTAACTGTATAAAGTATTTAACAATTAGGTCGAGATAAAAATATAATTAGTTTAATCGATTCAAATCTAACCCAAATTTAAAAACCATAATAAAGCGAGCAAAATAAATAAACAAAAAATATTCCAAACTCCAATGAAGCTGATAACACATGGCATAACCATTGTTAGCGATTTGTATGAACTATGGCCCCTCAATCATAATGGTAATGTGGCAGTGAGAGCACAGAGGTGGCTATTCCATTTTTTAACTTATAATATTTTCTACCCTTAGACATAACACGAGTATACCATTTATTTTTATAAATATTAAAAGAATTAAAGGATCTTCCTTGCCCGATAAATTTGGACAGCCCCATATGGATACGACTGACCCACAAGGGTTTAGATTTTCTTTTTTGAGAAGACCAAGATTTTGTTTTTAATTTCAAGTTGAGTATGGCATTGAAACTTTCCAAGATTTGAATAATTAAACCCCTCTGCCATCCCAGTAAGTAGCATTAAGAGAGGATCAAGCACATTGCCACCCCTTAAGGACTTTATTTTGTTCAATTTCTAGGGACAATTGGGAACAGCAAAATCAACACGGTTTTATTTTAATTACTCCACAAAATCTTTGTATATACTTATCACATCCGTGTATATATAAGTTGGCAGATATTAATTAAAGTCAATTAATTCACAGTCTCATATTGTTGAAAGCATTTTGGCAGCATTAGGAGTGTAAGATTGAACGAATATCCAATCATCGACGACATGGTTGCCCTGCGAGATCAATTCATAAACGACAGATTCACCAATGATAGGACTGAACAAATTGCTTGACCTGACATGTCTATGTACCAAGGACACATAAACTAATTAATCATACCATAATTCATATGATAAACATAAATCGTATTCTTATTGTTTTGTTTTCATTCGAACGCACATGATTAGCGGTTAGTGCTGTTAAGTAAATTCATACTAGTATTCCCATAAACTTCCATTTAATTAATTATTGCATAACCTAAACTCACATGTGCATGACGGATAAAGGAACACAAGAATTAATTCCAAAAATCTAATGAGGACCATTAATCATTTAATATTGCTCAGAATGAGAGGCTTCTTAGGACGGCGAATGTGGCCACCATAATTAGGGCACATGCCATGACCCGTTAATGCTACGATCCCCACCAACCAATTATAATTAATCTCACACTACAAATAATGTGCCCTAACATTCTATATAGTTATTTATAACATCACAAAGCAATAAATTGTTGATATAAATGATACTAAAGTTGATTTTGTTAAATAATATTTTGAATTCAAATATAGCGGTACTTGGTTGGTTAAAAAGCAAAATTAAAAGAATTAAAGGATCTTCCTTGCCCGATAAATTTGGACAGCCCCATATGGATACGACTGACCCACAAGGGTTTAGATTTTCTTTTTTGAGAAGACCAAGATTTTGTTTTTAATTTCAAGTTGAGTATGGCATTGAAACTTTCCAAGATTTGAATAATTAAACCCCTCTGCCATCCCAGTAAGTAGCATTAAGAGAGGATCAAGCACATTGCCACCCCTTAAGGACTTTATTTTGTTCAATTTCTAGGGACAATTGGGAACAGCAAAATCAACACGGTTTTATTTTAATTACTCCACAAAATCTTTGTATATACTTATCACATCCGTGTATATATAAGTTGGCAGATATTAATTAAAGTCAATTAATTCACAGTCTCATATTGTTGAAAGCATTTTGGCAGCATTAGGAGTGTAAGATTGAACGAATATCCAATCATCGACGACATGGTTGCCCTGCGAGATCAATTCATAAACGACAGATTCACCAATGATAGGACTGAACAAATTGCTTGACCTGACATGTCTATGTACCAAGGACACATAAACTAATTAATCATACCATAATTCATATGATAAACATAAATCGTATTCTTATTGTTTTGTTTTCATTCGAACGCACATGATTAGCGGTTAGTGCTGTTAAGTAAATTCATACTAGTATTCCCATAAACTTCCATTTAATTAATTATTGCATAACCTAAACTCACATGTGCATGACGGATAAAGGAACACAAGAATTAATTCCAAAAATCTAATGAGGACCATTAATCATTTAATATTGCTCAGAATGAGAGGCTTCTTAGGACGGCGAATGTGGCCACCATAATTAGGGCACATGCCATGACCCGTTAATGCTACGATCCCCACCAACCAATTATAATTAATCTCACACTACAAATAATGTGCCCTAACATTCTATATAGTTATTTATAACATCACAAAGCAATAAATTGTTGATATAAATGATACTAAAGTTGATTTTGTTAAATAATATTTTGAATTCAAATATAGCGGTACTTGGTTGGTTAAAAAGCAAAGCAAAACAAAACTAGATAAACTGTATAATAAGAATTATGATCTTGGCAATAATTAAAACCCATTATTTTGATTCCTCTTTTATTTTACAGTGACTATGGGATAAGCAATTAATAATTGAATCATTTATATATGTAGCAGAAAGTGTAGATAAGGTCCTGTCAAGTTGCTCTCAAGCATTATATGTGTGACAGTATTTCTGTGCCTATCCTTTTAAATGTACAAGTCCTGTCCTATATATATACATTCACCATAATATATGATGTAAACAAGGAACTGTTTTCTCCATCAAGTTCAAACTATACCACAGTAGGATGCAATCCCAACCAATTATGCCACATCAAAACGATGCATGTGTAGAATGTTTGTATGGGACTTTAATTTCTGATGATGATCATCATAATGTATCACAAGTGACACATGCTTCCCACAGGGGTGCGTGGTAGCTGAAGAAACACGTGGAGTCATTATTGAAGAACATATCGGAAGGTAGATAGAGAAATTCGCAACCTTAGCTTAAATTTCGGTTGGTGTATATATATATCAAATTGTAATTGGCATGCAATGTGGCTGCCTAAGGTACACGAATTAAATATCATGTGTTTTGATGTATGTTAATATAGATATGTCACTGTATGACATATTTTGATCTGGCTATATCTAAATATCCGAGAGAGAAGAAAGCCAAAAGGGTCCAATGTGTTTCTTAATTATTGTGATTTTCAATTCTCATGAAAAAACAGTACACAACATTTTCTGAACACTGGCAATGGTAAATAAGGGGGGCATCACAAATTTTCGGCTTCTTCTGTTGATTTTTCTTGAATTAAGAGGAAAATTATGAGGCTAGGATTTTAGAACTTGATTG